AGCAGTAAGGGTTAATCCAACTTTAAATAAAGTTAGGAGTTTGAATCCTGTCTTGTGTATGTAGCCGCGTTAAATCTTGGGGCCAACTATCTCATCCTTTGAGGTGCCTCTAATGTAACAAGGAAATTAATCACTGCTATCAGCGGTAATGTAAATACTCTAGGAACGAACTAAAATTTTTTTTTCTGTAATATGAAATTTAACCAAAAAAAATTGTATAAAAAAAATTAATTATCCATTTTATCAATAATACCTATCGACTTATTTGATAATTATTTTATCTTTATATTTTTAAGATTATTTTAATTTTTTATTATTTATAATTATACATTAGGTAGAAATCTCTATTTATTTTAATTTTAATTTTTTATTATTTTAAACAAAATTTATAGAAAAAAATAAGTGTCACTTTTTCCTTAGTTTAAATAAAATAAAAGGGGTTTATTTTAGTATGCTTTGTAGTCAACGGGGTGTTTGGACTAGGGCCTTATATGTGCGTGTCCGAATTCGAAATCCGCGTTTGTGACGCCAAAGTATTAAGTGAAAGCAAAAATCTGTGGTGTGTGTTGGATTTTGGTAGGAAAAGTAACGTGTTTTGCGTGGCATTCACGTGACAATTGTTTTGTTTGTCATAGGTGCATCCCTTTATCGAATTTGTTACGCTGCTTACATCAATCACCACTTGCATATATTATGGTGATGGAGTTGGCGCAAACCCTATTGCTCAATTTGTTCGGTGACATTAATTGGCATTTCATAATGGCCAAATCTCTCTTTCGTAACTATGCTAACTAGGACCAGCATGCCACATACAAATCCTGAAAAGCGTGCCCATTTTTGCGAAAAATACTCCTATCATAAGTTGCAAATTAAAAGTCATAGATTAGTCTTTTTTATATTTTCACCAAAAAATTTACTCTTTTTATAAGAACAAGTTAAAGGTATCTATTGCATTAATTTATTTTACACATAAATATTTTTAATTAATGTGATTTCTTTTAATTTAACGAATTCTCAGTAAAATTAGTATCACATTAATGTTACATGTAATTTTAAAAAAATTATATAAACTTAGAATAAATTTTACTCTACTCCTATGGGCTGAGTGCTGAGAAAGAGTTATATTTCTTTATTAAACTAAAAAGAAAAATAATCAACTTTTTTTAATTAAGGTGAAATAGATAATTAGATCTTATATTCTTAGATTGAATGTACAAATTCTAAGGTTCAAAATTTCCGTGTCATCTTTGTAATTCCAATGCATAAAGAAGAAAAAAATGTCCTGAGGGTTACGGAATTCTGGTTTATTTAAGTATTAAAAATAATGAAATGAACCATTAGGTGGTTTTGTTGGCTTTAGCATGCGTTGATTCAAGAGTACTACTGGTCCTAGAAGCTGTATAATTAGGGTATGTGATTATAGCTTTTCATTTATTTTCAAATGGGAAGTTTGAATTCGTGGACCCATCTACGTTTAGCTCCTCTTTTGCGCGCCCCCTACCAAATTATGTTGATACTGAGTTTCAATAATTATGATAATAATAATAATAATAATAATAATAATGATTTGGTAGTGGAACTTTATGGGTAATAATATTTTTGGTTGTAAAACTTGCACCTCAAAAATTGAAAAATCATTTGATGAACTTTCATTTTGATAAATATATTTCTCTTTGTAGGTCTGTAAAGCCAAATATGAAGAGTTGCGAGAGCAGTATTCCGGGTGCACGTAAGTATGACTGTTTCTTTTCTCTCTTAATTTGAATTTTCTCAATATGGTAATATATCCATATCTAGCTTTAGATCTTATGAAATGCACTCTGAAAATGACATAGAAGTTGTGTTATATCTCATTGTATTATGGTAACATGACATTCTCAGGGATTTGTTTGAGGAGCTTAGGAAGAAAAGAATGGCAGAGCTTAAGAAAGATTTGGAGCAATCTGAAGGTTTAATTGGGTTAGTTGCATGTCCATATTTCTCTGTATGCTAAGATTTAGTTTGACAGCAAAGTAATATTCTTAAACAAAGCATCAATTTCTTCAAGCTTTTTGTTAGCTGAAATGTCCAAAAAATCTCACAGTTTAGCTTGCACATACTAGTTACTACTTACTACGCTCCAATGGTGAAATTCTGACCACGATAGCTAGTATGGAAATCACTTGTCATAGTTTTGATTACCAGCATTTTGAGTATAGTTGTACTTAATATCTTTGTTTCAGGTCCCTTGAATCGAAGCTTGAATCCCTTGAGGCTGAGGGGAATGAGAAAACCGGTGATTGCCGCGTCAACGATGGTTCAGCTGAACAAGAATTACAAGTTCCATCTCAGAGATTGGATAGAGCCAAATCTTCTGCAAAAGAGGTGTCAAAGGATGCCGGGAGTTTCACACATGAAACTGAGACAAACTGGTCTCATGGCAACCTGGTTCCAACAATGTCTTGTGAAGAAATGGAGACCAAGCCTCAAGTTTCAGGGTCTACCGAGCAGGAGAAAGTTTTGAATGTAGATAAGCCTGCTCACACTGTATATGAAGGACAGGAAGATGGTCTGAAAAAATGGAGTGGGAAGAGAAAGAGGAAGGATTATGGAAGGAATTTTAATGAAGTGAGTGTAAAAGAAAGTGATCTTTCAGCTGATGTGTGTAAAGAAAGTTCTATCAGCAATTGTGGTGAGATTGTCAAACCTTCTGGTATGAATAAGGAGAATGAAAACTTGAAAAAGGATGGAATAATGGATTTGATGGAGATCTTAGATTCTGTTATGGTGGTTAGAGGTTCTTCTGCCTTCTGTCGTAGACTTGATAGCCAGGTATGAGTAACTTAAGAGATCCCATTCTATGGCTTTTAACTTCTCACACCATGTAATGCTTTTAATGATAGATCCACTAGTTCCTTAGATGCACATGCACATGATTTTTATAGACTAATGTATTTGTGGTGTTCGGTATTTTTTTTGTGAGTGCTTGTTATGTAAGAATAGGAGTGGCAGAGAAAAAGAAACATAAAATAGTTATATGCTTAATAAAGTGGAAGATACAAGATGAATAGGCAGTGATATGATTCGATATGAACCATTTTTTTTTTTCGTTTATAACAGAAGCGAGGAAGATACAAGAGAATGATCCGGCAGCACATGGACTTTGACACTATAAGGTCAAGAATAAGCAACCAAACAATCAAGTCAGTGATGGAACTTTTCAGAGACTTACTACTACTGACCAACAATGCCATATCATTCTACTCCAAGATCACTCGTGAGTACAAAACTGCTATACAAATTAGAGACCTTGTCATCAAAGCATCGAGGGAGAAACTCAAGTGTTTGGGCAGCAGTGTCACCCTTGCCAACACCTCTAGCATCAGCATCAGCATCAGCTCCAGCACCAGCACCAGCACATCACCTGTGCATGATCCTTCAGTGAAAGTCAGAAGCATGCGCCCCGGTAACCGCAAGATTGTTGCAAAGGTAGCTGATGGCAAAAGCTCTTCTGAAAGGGTCTCGCTTAGAGCTAAGAATGCTACCAAAGTGAATTCTCCACATTCAGTAGAATCCTTACCTATCAAGAAGGCTTTTGGTAGAACCAAAAAGGTTGGACGTGAAAGTGCAAATCAGAGACGTGCAACACCAAGGAGGGAAAGGAAAAGAGGGAGAGCTAAGTGAGGGTTTGGTTTTCCCTCTTGAAGGTTATCTTTTTACAAAGAGAAATCCCTATTTTTGTTTGCATGCAGAAGGATGAAATTTCATGCACCCTGAAGGTGCTTCAAATATATGATATTAAATAGTTCTAAATTACAGTAACCAATCTAGACAAAATGCCCAACTATAATAGGCACTTCTAGTGAATCTTTTTGTAAGTTGTAAATGCGAATTTTGTTTTTACCAAAAGAGAAGTATACTAATTTAAATAGATAGGAAGTCATAAATTAGCATATTAGCACATCGGGCAATTATTTTACTCCATCTTCATGATTGCTTGTTTGCGTTTCTTTACCATTTCATATGTATTCCACCTTTGTTTAATTTGGTACAAGGGTTCAAAACTCTTTGGCCAAGTATAAGTGAAGTATGTAAGGAAAGAGAAAAAGCATGAAGAAGATTTTTAGGGTTAAAGTACTTATATCTTAAATTATTAATCTAATTACTGAAAATTGTTATTTTCGTATTTGTGTTCTTTAATAATGGATTTAGGTTCAATTGTTTGATTTAGAGTCACACCTTGATGTATTATTTAAATAAAATAGTTTAGTGAAAAAGAGTTATATTAAAAAAATTATTAATCTAGTTGTATTGTATATTAATTAAGCATAATAATCTTAAATTATTGAAAATTTTCTTTTAAATTTTATTTAAAAGTTAATTTTAAGGGATGTAATAACGTGCACGAGTTTTGATCACAAAAATATATTTGAAGATAAATATAATATTTGTGTGACTTATGAGTTATGAGCATAGTTTTAAAAACTGGACCGGTCATCGAACCGGTTAAGGTACTGGGTCAGTGGGTCAAAGGTTGAACCGGTGGGTCACTAGTTGAACCGCATGACTCGATTTTTATTTATTTTTATTAAAAAGTATTCATATTAAATATATTTTATACTTATAAATTTTAATAAATTCATATCTTATTTTAAATTTCAATTTTTCTATCTTATTTAAAATTATTTTTATTTTTATTTTGCAAAAAAATACATAAAAAAATTACATGTTAAACGGTATATTAATACAAATTAAAAATATAAATAATATGTACATATATAATATGCTTGCAATTAATATCAGAAAATAATATATGTAATATTTACATAGATATTGCATCATTAAATATATAATTTAAAATTAATAATATACTATAAAAGTTATTTAAGTTGTATATATTGCAAACAAATATATTAGAACAAGTAGTCATTGTTATATTTAATAAGACTCCTTGCTTTTTCATTAAGAGATTCAATTTTCATTATTATTTTTGTAATTTATGGTCCCTTAAAAAAAAAAAAAAGTGGTTGAACCGGTCTGACCCACCGGTTCACCGGTTGAACCGAAAAATTGATCGGTTCAATCCAGTTTAAAACGGGTCGACTGCATAACCGATCCAACTTCAGATTCGGACCGGTTGGACCAGACCGGTTGGACCACCGGTTCCCGGTCCAACCGGTCCGACCGGCCGGGTCGGTCCGGGTTTTAAAACATTGGTTATGAGCTGGATGTAGCTTTATATGGTTTTCTCTATGCTTCAACCTTTTCTGATCCTTGAAAATTGTAGCAAGAGAAAGAAAGGAACTTGCAAGCAAGAGTTGAGTGGAGGCCTCCGTTTCAAATCCTGGAGAGAGTGGTAGCAGGTTTTTTCTCGTTTGTGTTTAACTGTAAAGATACTAATGCCATTTGAAGTGTGACACCCTCTACTCCACATTCATAATTACACAATAAATAGGAATAATTAAAATCTTTCATAAATAAAACTATAATCTCAAATATTTTATGCAAGGATTCAAATTCATAAACTCATAAACAATATCTTCAATGCAGCAATTACAAAGGAAAGAAATTGAGATTTTTAAAATAGTTCAATGAAAATAACATCCTAAACTAGTCTTAATTACGCTCTGAAGTCACATATCCTATTAGAACACACCCAACTGAAGCCTAAGCTTCATCACTAACATCCTCATATTGATGGTTATCTGTAACACAGTAGAAGACATACATAGAACAAACAGGGGAATGAGAAATATCTCACTCAGGTTAAGGTGTAAAAATAATGGTCAGGCAACACACACGCAAATCATAACAAAGCATAACACAAAGCACACATTAATCAAGAACAACTCAAGTCATACATACATTAGTAGAACATACACAATTACTCATTATGCAATGATGTCATGGACTCAACTCACAAATGCATGCGTATGACGCCAGTCACATATCACATATCACTAATGTGTTGCCTAAACAACACACCTAAGGTAGTCTAGGAGTACATGTAGGGAGCTACCCATACACTCTCAACTAGAAGGATGTACTGCTAGGGTCAGGTCGGGATAGTGAAGTTGTGCAAGTTATGTCTCGTGCTCACAAATGGGCAGAATCGAGACATCCAAACCACACTATCCCCTAGGACTCTCCTAAGCTGTTACACAAGGAGGGTCTTCCCTAACGGTGTACTCCATATCGTACCCGTCATATAGATGCACATGATGCATGTCACATACTCACACTTCATAGACTCATCATTGCACTTGTAATAGTTACTTATATATCATGTCTCATTGTCACATATCATCATATCTCATGTCTTATATTCACTTTTCACATTGTCTCTTCATATTCACATAGTTTTATACAAGGGACTTCTCATAGGTATATACATCAGAATAGCACACAAATCATAACAAAAAATTATTCAACTTCATACACATTCAATCCACAATTCATAACATATGAAGCATAAAGGTCACAAACCCAACTTCATGATTTCACGCATTTTTTTACAACTAGCCAAGTAATATAATATTTCAATAGGTCAAAACACTCCAAATGTTACCCAAAACACGAATTCATCATCAATTTTATATATAATTCCTCAAAATTCATTCAAAGATCATATCCCTAATTTCACTTCATAGGATTTCCCACAGGAACCCACAGAGCACTCTAATTCATATCAAAACTTGTTTATTTTCAAAATTAAAAACATATTTACACTCAGCAAACATCAAGGAACACAACAGAAAACTCAGAAGTCAAAACAGAAAACATTCAAAATTTGTTTGTTTCTCATAGGATTTCTCATAGGAACCCATAAAGCACTCTAGTCCATATCAAAACATATCCAAACTCAAAATTAAACATACATTCATGCTCAGTAATCATCAAGGAATACAACAGAAAACATTCAAAATTTGTCTCTTTCTCATAGAGTTTCCCATAAGAAACCATGGAGCACTCTAATCCATATCAAAACTTATATATTCTTGAAATTGAATGCATATTCACACTCAGAATCACACAAGAAACACAACAGAACAGTCAGAAAGCAAAACAAAAAACTTTCATAAAGTGTCTATTCCTATCAAGTAAGGATTGATGATCAATCCTGCAACCTAACAGTTATTCTCACACCATGAATAAGGTTTCTCACTCCCCTTTACCTTGATGAGTAGAAGACGAAGCACGTACCATTCCTAGTAACCTCCTTTGCATGATTCTCTTTAGTCTTTAGAGCACAACGCGTAGAAAGAGAAAGTGAGAAGCGTGAAATAACTCCTGACAACCACCTTTCTTAAAAATAATAAAAATAAATAATAATAATAATAATATTTAGCAAAAGACCACCACGTCCCTCTTTCTTTTCTCATAAAATAATTAAAAATATTTTTCCTTTTAATAATAACATAAATATAATTCTTGATAAAAACATATTTTCATAAAAATAGTTTTATAGCAAATAATCTAAATATTAATTAAAAATTATTTTTATATTAAAATAGAGCTCACATAAAATATATAAATAATATAAAATATACTTCTCCCTTTTAGTAAAAATAGGATATGTTTTATATAAAAATAAAGTTCATATAAAATAACTAAATAATGTTAAAAATCCTTCTAATAAACACATTAAAATATTAAAATAAATATTATGTATTATAAATATAATTTTATAAAAATCGGGGTGTTAGATGAAGAGTTAACATGATAAGATTTTATATGTGAATTTTTTTTTGTCTTTTAAATATGTCAAAGTAAGGATGACAATGGAGCCCCATGGGGGCGGGTAATAGTAAACCCGTCCCCGCCTCGCTGGATAAAAATTGGTCCTATACCCACTCCATATCCACGCGGGTATCCATTAAGCGGGTATGCATGAATTTCTTGAATACCAACGGATATCCATGGATATTTATAAATTTTTTTAAGAAATTAAAAAATTATATTACAAATAATTTGAAGTTTATATTTAATGTCATTGAAATATTAATAATAAAAATTTAATGTTAATTTTGAACTTGTATTTAACGTTAATTTTGTTGAAATAATAATAAAAATGCAAGATAATCAATAACTTAAAATACATCAATCTCACAAGTAAGTGAAAGTCTCATATCACAAAGCTACAATAATTCAATTTCATAATTTTAAACGAAAGTAAACAACTTAAAATACATAAATCTTATTGGTCCAATCAAAGCTAGAAAATTAATCAAATTACATCCAACATAATTCTATAACATGCTTAACACATGTTGGTAACTTCATCAATCTCACTTTTGTAAGAAAATAAGATGAGAGGGTGTAGTTTTAGGGTTATGTGGTACAATGATAATTAGGATATTTAAGACATATTATTAAATGGGTATCCGCGAGTATGAATATTATCATACCCACCCCCGTCCCGTTTATAAACGGGTAAAAAATTATTCGTTCTCATTATCTACGGGTACTCAATTAACCTATCCATTTATTATCCGTAACAGATTTTACCCACAAATACTCGCATATGTGGGTATTTTTGCGATCCTTATATCAAAGCCAAATGCATAGTACATTCTGGGATAATTAACTTTTAATTTAAATGTAAAGGAAAAAATGCAATGATCTTTGGCCTAGAGAAAAAAAATCCTCTAGCTAACAAAATTCTAGGCCTGGGGAAAAAATCTTGCAAATAGGACTCGTGTTTACATTTTAAAATACACTCTATACATTTTAAATTACACTCAGTTCACATAATATATTCAACCTAAGATTGATTTATCAATTTACATTTTAAAATATACTCAACTCAATTCAATTATATTTTTACATGTGTTGATATAAGACTCGAGTGATTAGATATTGTAATTACTAATCATAGAATAATATGAATTTATTTTTTTTACTAAATAAAACAAAAAAATATTTTTTTATCCATCAGAATTACAATAATAATAATAATAG